TCGAATTAAGGTAGTTTCTCTTGCGCAACGCGAAGGAAGAAATTTGGTTTTTATGCACGCGTATGCTGAATAGCATACGACTCGAGAGCATGTAGCGATTAACGCTTTTCATTTTCTCAGCATAATGGGAATATCGCCACGGAATGTTCGATAATAAATTAGCTTATAAGATCAGCGGAGCATAGTGATACAAGAAAAGAAAAATGGAAAAACGAAAAGAAATACAGGCTCGGGGCAGTATTGAATCTGCGTCATCTTGTTAGCAGTCATGCATGCCAGACCTTCCGTTACCGAACACTTGCCCGATGTCTGCTCACTATCTACTGTACTTCTATAGTTTTCTCAATATTTAATCACTGAAAATTCAGTAATTCTCAGTATTACATTTCTGTAAGTATATTTCATCCTTACCGCGTTATTAAGCGCTATTATTCAAATATTCATATTAATGATAAAGTAGTGTTTAATCACTGCGACCCTAAGCACTGAAATATTTGGAATCACTGCGCATTCTATTATTTAATCATTACGAATTGCTAACAACAGTATTTTAAATATTCAAAACAAGTAATTAATCACCGGCGTAGTAGTGATAAATTTCTGTAAGTACGAACGCAAGAATAGGGAATGACTGTAGAAGATGCACAAGAACGTCGGAGAAAGCAGGAACATCGGGTTGATGGAGGCACAGGAGAAGCACAAACAGCTCGTTCGACCATGATGATTATTTAAGAAGTAGGCGACGATTACAGGATAGCCGACTTTTGATTAGCCAATTGCGAAATATCGATCTTAAAAAATCGAGACAATTAAAAAATCAGGACTTTTAATAAAAAATTAATAAATTAGATAAACGTAGGTAAGTAAAAATATTTATTCATTATTATGTTATTCAGGATCCGCAGAGAATCGACTGCCGTTCGCACTCGAATGCAGCTCGCCGCCGACCGCGCGAGTCGCCGATTACCGGCTTTAAGCCCGTATCGAAATTTAGCCAATCAGCAAAATTCATTAAATTGGGCATGTATGATTATATATAGTCATATATAGGCAAATCTCATATATGATCTTTTTCCCACGTATTTTATCGATTCCTTGATGCAGCCAATGAATGTGTTTATTTTACGAAAAAAAAAAAATGATACATAAACAAGCAAGTGAAAGATATCGACTCTAATAAACAAAAATGTTACTCTTGTATCTCCTATTTGACAGATCGAAAGTTCAGTTTTGAAATTTTTCATCGTTTCCGTTACATATTGGACAACGTTCCAGTTCATTTGCGCGCGTACTTTCGGTAGGTAAAACCATTTCTAATTCTGTGCAACCAAGACGTAAACTCTGCGGAAAAATCCAGTTTAATGTTATATTCTATCTGATAAAATTTTCAAGTATACCTTAATAATGAAGTCTCTATAAAATATTCAAGGTATCAATGAGTTCATTAAACACTCTTATGTCGTGATTATTTCCTACGTCGATTATTACATTAATTATAAATCACTTATCGGAGCGGGTTGGTGAAAAGAAAAGGCGAGATTCCGACAATAAATATGTTTTATTACACATATATCTCGTACGAGGGTTACACGATATTAATACATGTTCATTTAACTGTCCAGCAATCAAACAGGTTGTATTTTTATTTTTCTCTCATCATCATCATCATCATCATCATCATCATCATCACATCATTACCATCGGAGTCCTATCGTATCCTAAATATTATTGCATATCTCATCAAATCATCGCGATTCGTCATACCTGCAAAACATCGTCATTAACGCAGTCCCGAAAACACACTCGAACAAACCGCAAAAAAAAAACGTAAAACCGCTAATTCCTCGGCGCATTCTCATATAATCTCTCTCATTCTCATTTTCTCCATCCTCTATTTTTCATTCTCTCTCTCTCTCTCTCTCTGGCGAACAATTGACAGACCGTATGAGTTACAAGAGGGTTACGCATTTGTCACGCTTTGTCTTTGTACCTGCGCGTAGACCCGCGAGATCCATCGGGACGAGCAACGAGAAAACGTCGGGACGAGCGCACGCGCTTTCATCGCTCGCCGATGATACAATCGACTCGCGCTCGCTAAAAAGAACTAAAAAGATCCGCCGCCAGGTGATCGAAGTACTTTCGCCGAGTGTTTCCAACTCGGTGTCAGTGCAAGAGGTACATCACCGATAACACTCCCGCCTCCCTCCACCCCTCGATTCTCCCGTGCAAAGGACTGCGTCGCCGCGATCTCGATTCACGATTCGCGCGGCGAGTGTTATCGTTGACGTTAGTTGGTTAATCGGCATCTCATCTCACCTCTCCCTCCCTAACGCTTATCCTTATCTTTACTATATCAATATTACTTATATCAATTAATCGTTATCGTTAATATTATCATTATTATATTATAACCTCGTTGCTTACGCCCTAAAGAACTTCGTTTAAGTTAACTCTTCATCCTCCACTTATTCCGCGGGTTTCATATATAATAACGTATAATCGCGTACTCCTCGGATTCTTGTATACACTAAACTTGGTGGCCAGCACCAAAACACTCACTAGATCACTGCCTACGACACAGATAGAGATTTTGCTTTCTCTGTAGTTTTCTTTTTTTTTTGGTTTTCTTGGGTTTTCCGTTTTCTTTCCTCCCTCTCTCTCTCTCTCTCTCTCTCTCTCTCTCTCTCTCTCTTTGCTTCTTCTCTCCTTCCTTCTCGTATGTATAATTAGATTAGTTCCTTTATGTGATTAAGAAACGTACGATTATGTGAGCCCGAGCCGCCGCTTCCGCCGTCGCCACTTTCAAGCGCGCGCCGAGAATCCGCGTTCTCTCGCGAAAAGACGAGCGATTCGATTCGTCTCACGGGAAAAAACTCGTATTCCTGTGTGCAAGTAAGAATATATAATCTTATGCGAAGATTAAACTTGCTCTTATATATATACACGAAGAAATTCTGTGTAGTTTCGCCAAAAATATTATATTCTTGCTACTCAAGAATAATTTCTACGAGTTGTGAAGAAAAAATGTCGGGTTGAAAGTTACGACGCAATTCTTAGTTTGAAGATATCATTCTTTCTATCCGGCATTTCTTCCTCTCAATTCGTGCAGATTATTCTCGAATAACAGACATATATTTTTATTAATAACGATAGCGAAAGTTGGGACGATCAGAGCCGAGTGTAGTTTCTTGTGTTTGTACTTACATCATAAAATAATAATATAAATAAATTATGCTTACATTATAAATTAATAATGTAATTAATAGTGTTACAACAGTATATGGAGGACGTTTGGACCGTTATTGTGATCGTCTTCAGCCAATTCACATGAAAATATCACCTGAATCTACAGAATAATTTATAGTCTGCAGTCTACAGAATTTCTTTGCATATACATATACATATGTGTGTGTATATATATATATATATAGAAGCAAGTTTTATCATCTGAAAAAATCACATCGATTCTTTGTACGTGAGAACGAGTAGTCTCGAGTTGACACTAATTTTTTTTCCCGCGCGATGATGCCGTTTTATATCGCGGCTCGTGATGGAAAAGGGGGCGGGGGGAGGGAGAGGGGATCGGCACGAGAAGTTGAAAGAAACCGAGCCACGTGTCGGGTGTTGGGCGATCGGTGGGCGATTTTGTACGGTCGGAGCGCGCGACGGCGGGCCCGCTCGGCGCTCGAGCGGCGACTTCGCGCGGATTTTCAGTCCCGCTTGCAATCGGAGCGACCGCGAGCTGCGAGCGGCCGAGCGAGTGGTTCGAGCGGCTTCGAGAGAGAGAGAGAGAGAGAGAGAAAGAGAGAAACTCTAGGACGTTTTCCTCAACGGCGCCGGAACGTCCGTCGCTAGAAGACGTATTGGTGAACGACACGCTTGTCGACTTAACGACGTAATTCACTTAAATTACTCTTTGGTTAAAAACAATTATCGACAGGATTCCCCGCCCGCGTTCTTGTTGCCGTGTGTCGCCGCAGTACGTACTGCGCGCGTGTGTGTGTCTGTGTACTAATACACGTGTGTCTGTGTGTGTATGTGTGAGAGGGTGAATTGCGTGTGTGTTTGCACGTGTGTTTCGCGAGGAAACAACGTCTCGTGCCTCGATGATTAATTTCAACGCGAACGGCGAGAGGCCAGCTCCCGAGGCGTAGTCGCGCGTTCAAATTAATCGTCCTCTCTCTCGTCTCTCCTCAAGATCTCCTGGTGGTGCTGCTTGTACTCTCTCGTCGAACCTCCTTCCTCCTCCTCCTCCTCTTCCCCCTCTTACCGCTTAAATCATAGGTGGTGGATAATACTCTACGTGTTGCGCTAACGTTTCCTTTATAGACACGCGGCTACTTCTTGATTCTCATGTTTTTTTTTTCTTTTTTCTTTTTCTTTTCTTTTCTTCAGATTACGATTCTTCCCTACGTCTACGAAGCGAGCGTGACGAAATCTTACGATTAAAGACAAGTATCCCTCCCTCTCTCTCTCTCTCTCTCTCTCTCTCTCTCTCTCTCTCTCTCTCTCTACCGGTAATCAGATGACTAACCGAGTTACTACCGAATAACCGCCGAAGAACCGAAAAAGATGAAAGACGCCTAACTGTCTACTAATCCTCGTCTCCACCGTTTCCAGCTGCTCGTCTGATTCGCCTCCTCTTCTTCTCGCCCGCTCCTTCCCGACGTGTCGTGCGCTGATCAGGCCGTCGTCGCCGATGTCGCGCACGTTGCGCGCCCTGAACGGAGGCGACCGACGATGGATGGTCTCGATTTCCACGGGATCTTCCTCCGACGCGAATAACGAACCGCCTCTCCGGCGACAACTGTGTGTGTGTGTGTCTGCGTGTGGCTCTCTCGTATCGATGATTCGTGCTGCTCGAAACGTCGACGAAGAAGAAGACCGCTCGGTAAGAACGTGGTGCCGTGAATTCCGCTGGGATCCACCGTATCGTACGCTGCTGATATGTTGTTGAGGATCCTGCACTCTCCCGCGGCAAGGAGAGAACTGGAGTTTCCCTCCGACCACGACACCGTGCCCCCTCTTCAAGTCGTGCGATGAAATCCTCCTCCTCCGCCGTACATGTGTGTGTACGTGTGTGTGTGAGAGAGAAAAAAAGAACGTCTCGCCGCCCACACTCGATATATCGCAGGCAGCTTTCCTTGGGCGCGCAGGTACTTGGTGAAGAGATTCGCCCCTCCCGGATTGCTAGAAGAAGGTCAATGCGAGACCGCTCGAGAGAGAGTCCGCTTCCTTATTCCCCGTACGACGGTACGGTATATCAAACAAACGTATTGAAAGTGTTCGCTCGACGACGACGACGACGACGACGAAGACTGAGGCTTCCGCTCTCGGTCCAGCCGAGGCGCGGCGATCGTGGCTTCTCGTCCTCCTCCATCGAAAGCGGAGAGCAAAGCTGACTCTCTTCCTCCCCCCGTCGTCCACGTTGGCGCGTCGCGCCGACGACGGTCACCCGCCTCGGCCGTCCAGACGGCTCCCACCGTGCTTCCCGCCCCGGCGTTCCTAGCCGAGGGCGATCAATAAATAGGTCGATACAAAGAGACACCGGCTGAGCGCGGCCAGATGCGAATGTCACTGGCGCACACGCCACCAGGTCTGCTGCACCTTCTCGTGGAGCTTCCTGCAAATACCGGCGAGCCTCCGTCACATCCCAGCCTCGGCGGCGTTCTCCTCCGTCTCACCGCCCGCGTCCTCGCTGGAGAACTCGCCGGGTTCGCCGGGCTCCACGGTCTCGTCGCCCTCCTCCAACGTCACCTGGAAGTGTATCCTCTCCGACTGGCTCTCGTTGGCCGGCTGCTGCTGCTGGTCGTCCGAGGGCGGCGACGGCGGTATCATGGATTGGTACCAGTCGCGATTCTCCTCCAGCGTGTCCAGGATATCCTGCGCGTCCGGGTGCACCAGGTCCGCCCAGGTCTCCCAGAGCGGGTGGACGATGTAGTCGATGAAGCCGACCTGCGACTTCTCGATCGTGGCGCTGTGCCGGTCGCACATGGGACTGATGTCCATGTTCTGCTCGCGCTCGCGGTCACCCTGCAGGAAGAACTCCTCCATCAGCAGGCCCACCCAGCGCCGGTACAGCGGCAACGGCTTCGTCGGGTTCGACAGGTCGGCGCAGTGCACGAGATTTTCCAGCACCTGGATGCGGTCGGTGTAGTTGTCCAGCAGCAGCACGCCCGACCCGGCGACCTTCTTCGTCTCCACCATGGTCTTCAGGTCCGCCAGCAGCGACATGTGCTTCGACATGTCCGTCGACAGCACCATGTCGATCACCATCTTCCGTAGCGTCTGCCGCTGCTTCTTCGTCATGTTCACGAATATGTCGCAACCCTCGTTCTGCAGCAGCTTGAACGCCACCGCCAGGTGGTGGTTCTCCAGCACGGACTCGTCGTTGTACATCAGCGCGAGCTCGGAGCCTGCGGGAGGAAAGACCGTTACTCGTCGTTCTCCGAACTCGCGTTCACGGAGAATAGATATTTGCCGGAACCTGTTGCGGATTACTTGTTGATGCGGCGAAATTGTCATCATCGCCATTACCTTAAGACGATTCGCTCAATAATTATATGTTTGCGCGTTCTTTAGCAATGCATCTCGAACTGCTCGTCTTTATTTATGTTCTTTCGTAACTTTATCCGATATCAGCTCCGGATTATTCACATCTACCGACTCCGCCGTCAACGCTTTCGTCGCTGCTGGTCAGCTTATCCGTATAAATTATACGTACAATATTTTACGCTCTGTTACGTAAATTTAGAATTTATCTTCGTGCGCGCGTAAAGTGAGATTTTCCTGATTATGTAAGTAATGAATAAATAAAACGAATGAAAAACGGGCGATTTCTGTGATTCGGTCTGTTATCGGTAAGACATCGCGATTGTCCGCTGATAATGGCGAGATCAAACAGACGAATAGACTCGCTTTCGAGCGATTGTTTTCGCACACAATGAGAAAAACACGGCGACACTCACTTGAGTTGATGAGGAACTGATTCGTGAGTCCCGGATGGTCTACATCATGAATGGTGGCCGCGAACAACGCAGCGGTGATCTCCAACGGCGTGAACACGGACTGCAACGTGACAGAAAGCGATGCGGATTAAATGGAGATAAACAGTTATATAACAATTCACAAAGATAGCACAAATAATACATAATAGAAATTACGTAATTCCCGGCGCGTTATCTGAAGTCGCTCAACTCCCTCGGACGTTTAACTCCTCTGGTCCTCCACTTTTCAATGTCGCGCGACCGAAACGCGCGCAATATCGCCGTATCGCACTTATCAAAAGAAATATTTACGGATCGCGCTCATTATCTCAGTCGGAGCTCGTGCGAACAGTGCATACATTTGAAGAGAGGAAGAAAGAGACGGAGAGACAGAGAGGGAGAAAGAGAAAGAGAGAAAGGTGCGCCTGATTATATCCCGTATAGAAAATTTTCTGCGATTTGATTGGAATCTATTCCGATTCCCCAAACAAATGACGGATTCTGATTGGGAAATCTGTGAAGACTCGGATCAGAGGTGTAACGATTTCAAAAGTGAGATTCTAAGTGGCAACTCTAGACAGGAGTTTTCTCTGTCTAACGTTTGCCCAAAGTGCGATTCTAAAAGGAAATCTCAGGCAGAATGGGAAATCCCATTTTCTCTGTGCAACGTTCACCCGAAGTTTTCTTTTTTTTACAAGGTTTCCAATTTATATTCACGTTGAAGAAAATATATGAAAAGCTTTGAGCACATTTTGCAAGTATAAATACTTAAAAATCGTACACACTCAAGCCGTTTCAATTATTTCGATCAACTGCTTTCTGAAACGATTGACAAATGTCTCTAATATATGTAACAATACATATGTTTATTTCGAACAATGAAACTCTACGATCGAATTAAATATTTAATCACATATTTCTTCATTGGACAGACAAAATGGGATCTAATTGAGATTTATTCCGATTAATCAGCTGAATAAAGTTACGATACTAAATGGGAAACTCAGACAGATTTCATTCGTTTTGCCCAACGTTTCCCCCGAGTTTTCTTTACATAATTGGGATAAGAATGGGATTTCTAATTGGTGTCGCAATATCTGACGGTTATTTAATAAGTTTGGGTAATCCGATCGCAGGATCTATGCTATATTTGGGAATGTTTGGGAAACTTCCGCGGGATACCAACCTCGAGCGCGGGCGTGTTGAGCAGAGTATGAGTGGACTGGGTCACATCGGCCGCGTGGAGGCTGTTGTGGAAGGGGTTGTCCTTCACGTAATGATCTTCTAGGGTCATCATGAAGGTGACGAAAGTCTTCGGCGGTATCGCTAGCGACTTGAGCAGATCTCGACTCTGGAAGGCCGTGTACGCCACGCAGGTGAGAGGTCGGTTGTTACTGAGCTCGCCTATCCTGAAGATGTCGATGCCCCACTTGTCGATGTCCGACAGCAGCTGCGAACAGTCACGGTGGAAAAATCAAACGCTAGGAATGATGACGAGTCGCGAGGCGACGCACCAAAACGACGCGTCAGCGCCGATCCTGAGTCGAAATGTTGGATTTGCGTGGGCAAACCTTTCATTCTACAATATAGCAGGGAAGCTGAAGATAGCAAGGTAGATTCGATTCTAATTTACTCCTGCTTTGACTACGATATAGTCCAAGGCAGTGTTAAAATTAAATCTGCGCACAGGGAAGAAGATTTCTTTAGATTTAGCATCTCTATTTATTTCATTCAAATTTGTGTCATATTTATTGTAACCGAATAATATTTTATCTGGTTAATATTAAAAGATATCATTTCACATAATAGCGTTCTTTCGGTTAAATAATAGTTTCCTTGAATGAGACAATACAAATGTTTTACTCGAACAAAGAATATTTTCGCACAAGTATATGCTGTTTCTACGAAAGAGAAATTTTAGTCGGATAGAAGTTATTAAATCTAAAGAAACCTTTTTCTCTGTGTACTATCCCGCGAAACGTAGATATCGATTAGAGCCGATGACTTGCCGGGGGCGAAAGAAGAGGCTACGGTACGCGGATCACGGAGGTTCTGCGTTATCTCCGGGAGGTCGCGGATTTTGCACGCGCGACGTCATCGTATCTCTTTTTCTCATTATCGGCCGGCCGCGACAACGAGACTCGATAAGAGCGAGAAAACGACGCGACGACGGACAGATCGGTGGTTCGAGGAAATATGCCTTGAAAATCTGATCGATACGCCAGCTGTTTGTAAACATCGACCAAAGTGTTATTTTAATCGAGCGTGAGAGCGTACAATTATTCCCCGCGTAATCGAAATCTTGATCGCTGTGTCTTGAAATTTTCAAACACGGCAAAGGAACTGATATTATGTAACAAGATTAGTTCAATTCTAATAATACGAGTTACTCCTATTTGGACCACAATGATGTTTTCAATCTCCGTTTTCGCTGCATTTAGCGTGAAAATTGGTTTCTTCGAATAAACGGAAATACAAACATGATTCTAAAAGTAGCAAAATTAGGAAATATTCGGTCCACGAAAGCCAAATCGCTTGTTCGAGTGTAAAAAATTTATCAGCAATGATTGACAAATATAAAATCCTTTCGATTCTCTTCCGTTAAACACAAGTTTCTTGCGTGTAACTTACACGCTTAACCGAAAAGAGCCTGCAATAAATCAAAACGTTTTATATTTGTAAATCATTGCTAAGAAATTTTACACGCTCGAACAATAGCGATTTAGCTTCCGCATGTAATTACCTTCCAATTCCGCCTTGAATACATACTCAACTGAATTTAACAATCGAAATATTTCTACCGAAACAGTTCGCGGGTCGAACTTCACTCTGAGAAAGTGAACTGAAATGTCCACGAAACGTCGGCTGCAAAATCCTCGGACGACACCGACTCGGAAGCCACATCGAATATTCACCCGCCGAAAGTCAATAATTTCAAGACCAAAACTCATTTCATCTCGCAACCTCCTTTGTGAAATAACTTTTCATCCAGGCTCTGAATTACCGTTAAACTGTTAGCGTCGCTTTTCAACGCAACGTAGATCGACTTGAATACTTTTCTTTTCACAACTCTATCATTATTTTCATTCGCGAGCAAATACATCCTGAAGAGCGGCAAAGTAGCATCCAAATTTCGGCTTCGCTCGAACGCCCCGCGCAATTTTCGCTTCCTGGCGCGGAAACAGCATCGCGAATTATTAACGCGCACGATAACCGAGATCACGTGGGCGTTGAATAAAACATCGCGTTTTCCTCGATTAAAAAATCACCGCGTGTAGACGTGCCCCTCGCCGATGTTCTTCGCGAAGAGACGCCGAAAATCAGGTTCCCCCCTCTCTCTCTCTCTCTCTATCTGTCTCACGTTTTCACGGTGAAGGATACGTACATCGCTAATCAGCTGAGTCGCGGGTTATCGGAGGAACCTCGGCCCGATGCTCGCGTGGTCACGATGAAAATACACAAAGCCGATCTTTGGATGACGCGCGCGAACGTTCTGTTTTCGAAAACTCCTACCCGTCGCTCGAGCGGCGCGCACCTGCGGCGCGCACCTGCGGCGCGCTACCGGGAATAAGACGAGTTCCACGTCGGATGGAAATAAAACCGAATAAAAATAAAGTCGGAAAAGCAATATACGTGTACCGCACGATAGTCCATTGTATTGGAAAAATATACACGGAGTCTCGAGAATATCATAAAGAGAAAAAGAGAGGGGAGGAGCTGCAGTTTCGCGAAAAAGTGAGACGGAATTCCTTGATTGAACGCTTGTTAAAAAAGGCGAAGCGCAAACGGAATGGGAAATAAGCCTTCCGATTCTGCTCGAACACGTCTCGGCTCGCCGAGGCTAATTAAGCTTCATCGCCGGATACGTCTGCGACCAGTCACGTGCCGGGGTGTTGAAAACAACGGCGCTATTTTTCCCGCCGCTTCGTCTCCCCCCTCTTCCACCCAGCATTACAATGGAGGAGGCGCCTCGGGGACTCGCCATACAATCAACAAACTTGCATATTCGTTCCGGACTTTAATTTCGCGACGTGCATAGAGTTACGCGCGCGCGTGAAATTGAAATCCCCTCGCGATATAAAATTAAAATAAAACGCGCGCGATATACACCCCGGAAATGGGGTGAAAACGGGGGATGTAGTAAACGGTCGATATGGACTCGATGCAATCAGCGGCGTGGCGCAAACTTTGCGCGGGACAATCTCTGATTGCCGCTCGCAAAACTCGCGTCCGTGATCTCTCTCCTTCTCTCTTCCTCTCTCTTTCTATCTCTCGGTCTTTGTCTTCAGCTTTAATCCCGCAATGGCGTGTCGCAGTGCGAAAGAAATCTTTTCCGTGCACAATTGCGTCAGAATTCATTCCCGGCAAATGAAAAATTCGACTAACCCGGCGACCTTCAAACAATGACTATTACCGTCGCATGCGTCGCAATTCCGAGCAACGTCGCCAGTATCGTTAAAATTGTCAGATCGAGGATTTTCTTTGATTTTGGACGGAACATCGTGCGAGAGAAAGAGAGAGAAGTATTTACTTGTACCGGAATATATATTTTTACAAACTTGGTTTATATAAATATTTTAGAAATATTTTGAAAAAAACCTTTTCCGAGCGAGGAAATATATATTTTTTCCAGACTGACAGATTTCATGAAAATAATTATTTATTCTATATACTTCAATAGAAGAGTTTAGTTTTAAATAAATATATTGTTAGTAACCACCGAATAAACATGTTTTTCAGATATTTTTCTCTCTCAGTATATACAGATTTAATTTCAATGCTACCTTAAAGCCACGCGTGCTCTCGATATCTCGATCGTAACAGTTCGAAGATGTTCTCCCTTTTACTTAGTATTTTTTCCTCTCAATTCAAATTCAAATTATTCTTGAGTAATAAGAGTATGATATTTTTGATGAAACTATGTATCAAATTTCTTCATCTATACATGCATATTTTATCTTCGTATAAGATTATATATTTTTGCTTATATAGGCAAGTTGATACTAATTTTTATCCTGGGCAGAATTAAAGTAGTTTCATCCTCGTCGCCGTTGATCCTGTATAATCATTTCCCTTTCTCTCGCTCCTTTTTACTCCATCTCTACTCTCTTTCTCCTCGCAATTTCGCCGTGTCGTAACGCTTCCGCGAGATCGAAAGCGGTGCAAATANGGGGGGGGGGGGGGGGTCGACGACGTCGTGATCGATACTTCGCGGAAATCCTGGAGGAAATCGCGGGGTATCGATGTTCCACGCGGCGATGTAGTGGTTACGCACAAAGTAGTTATCGCGGACTTTGGGGCGACGCGGGATGAAAGCCAGAAACACAGTGGAATTCGCGGCAATGGGATTGCGTCAATATCGCGCGCGGATCAAAGAGCGGAGAACAACAATAAACGGGATGTCACGCAGGTGGGAGAAATAACGGAGGTGCGGACGTCGGCGCGATAAATTCGCCAAATTGGAAAGCCCGCGAACTAGAGACAAGAATCCAATCGATTGTTCCTTTCATTTGAAGATCGTATCGCGGAGGACACTTCGAGAGTTACACGTCTTCTCGTCCAGAGATACGTAACTATCGGGACGTACTTAGAGAAGTCCCGCTAAAATTATAACCAGTTTCGGTCTCGACCGTGTCTCGACTTTCTGATTCTAACCAAAAAATAATAGCAATATACACGTGCACGGGAAAAGGAGAGGAACGGCAAATTTGACGCTGTCGTAACAAATAAATAAATATACAGGGCGTTTCTTAAGTACCGTCTAATATTTTCGTAGCTAACTTTTCTGGCCATTTTATGAAGAAATGAACGCATGTTCGTTCGAATTTTTCTTTATAAAATGATCTCAAAAATAAATCGCTAAAATATTAGACAGTACTTAAGAAACATATCCTGTATATTTATTTATTTGCTACGACCGCATAAAATTTGCTATCCCATTTCCCTCAATGTATAAAGTTATTATCGCTGACATTGTAACGCTTATTAAAAAATTGGTTTTCCTAGCTGCAATTGTTTCGCGATTAAATTAATTAAAGTACCAACAATTATATTTGTCAGTGCGGTGGTTTCACCTTTCGAAACTAAACCTCGCCTTTTTGATGATGTTTCATAAACTACATTTTTTATACATTTTAATTTGGAATTATATTTTCACATATATTCATTAACGATATTTATGGTGGACACATCGGCTCGATAATTACGAGGTGCGCGAGCTGAGAAACGTACTCCACGATGTCTGAGACGATGACGATTTAACCTGTTATTTCCTGTTTGACTGAATATCTGGTTTTTTAAATTCAAAATTAAAAGTCACCCTTCCGCTCGAACCGGTAGTCTCTCGTCGCGACTCGCGAAATGAAAGTCCGCGCGGTATCGACCGATCGAATTGCTAATCAACGGTCGCTTTCAAAAAATTAGCAGGCGAGTAAATTACGAGTCTGGCGAGGCGCGTTGTACAATGTTCAATATCTCTTTTTTCTTTAATCATGATTCAGCTTGTCTCTCGTTAATTACATCTAACTATATTTTATTGTATATAATTTTTAAGATTAAGCAGTGTAGCGGCTGACGTCTCGCCTTTTTGCCACAATTTGTTGTATTCATTACATGCATTGCGAGAAAAAAAATATTTAATACAAAAGAATATAAAAGAATATAAAATATATTTAATATAAAAGAATATAAAAGAAATATATAATTAATATAAAAGAATATAAAAGAATATAAAATATTTATTCAATAATAGTAGTAACATATTCATTTAAATCTAAGTTTTTCCATTTTTTTTTTTTTTATTAAATCTAAGTTTTTCTTTAGTAAACAATTGCTTTATTGAAAATCTAAAGATTTAAAGAAATATATATTTTCTCAATTAAAAAAATTTACTTCTCATTATAAAAATGCATATATTAATACACGTATGTTATTAATAAGCGCCAAATAAATACTTTTCATTTTTTAAATATTTTTCTCCCTCTGTGTGTGTGTACTTCTTTTCTTCTTTTATGACCAATAAAGTTTTATTATTATTATTATTGTTGTTCTTGTTGCTGTTATAGCCAACCGCAGAAACATTAAAACCGCGCGAAGCGTATCGTGTGATCATTACTCTTCATCGATATATAATCGTGCCATTCTTAGAAAGGCTTTAACGGTTCTAATCAATAGCGGATTACACGTGCCGTGCTCTCTCTCTCTCGTTAGGCCACGATTAATGACCGTTCAGTCACATGAAATTAACAGTAATTAATTAAGTCGAATAAATCTCGATTCCGGCGAAGCAGGTAATCAGTTTAGCGCCGGCGTGTGGGCGACTATCATGCCGGCAAATTCCGTCGAAAGCCACGTTCTACCTGACGATAACGAGAGAGAATGAGAAAGAGAGAAAGAGGGAGAGAGAGGACAGAGAGAGAGAGAGAGAGAGAGAGAGAGAAGGGACCGTCTTCGCCGAGGATCACACGTGGGCGCGCGCGGTATGATCGTTATGGGAAGCACGCAACGCCAACGCGAATTCGTCAGATGGAGTACGACTCGTGGACGTAAAGGACGAAGTAGTACGTTCGAATATACCGGCAGACATATTGTCAATCGCTCGGAAATTGCCAATTGCGTTGTCCGATTGTGCGTCCATCTCAAAAACGCGGCCCCCTCGAAGGTGCGAAACGAGTGCGAGACTGAGGACGCCGTAGCAACAATGACTCCGAGATAAACGGTATCTCGTCCACACGCACGTGACGGCGTAATTCTTCAGCCGTTGACCCTGAAGCGGACGCGTGGGTGACACATGTCTGTCACTCAGGCTTCTTCTTTCGTTATTATCTCGCGGTGTTGCTGAACTTCGCGAGCGAAGCGTCGCCACGTCGCGTTCGGCCGACTCGAAATTTTGGTTCTACGCTTGAATTCTATAAACAATGAAAACTAAGAAGGCGAGCCAGTTCCAATTCTCATGATACGATACTCCTTATGGCGCCAAATAACTTAGTTTGAATACTCGTATGAGTTTAATAATCGAAACATCGAGAGCGTTTCTAGTTTTAAGGTAGCGTTGAACAATCAAATCTGCAGAATAAAGTAAAATAAAAATTAAACACGTAGTATGAAATGAAATAAAAGTAAAGTCAATCCATAAAGATTCAAGAAAGGATTGACAAGTGTATTATTGTCACGGTAGGTTTTAATTGGTTTTCCACAGATCATCTAAACAAGTAGACGCAAACTGTCCTTGGGGAGGCCAAAGCTTCATCAAAATTTCGACTCGAACGACGTCGAAAGGAACGCGAGAGAAGCGGGCAGAAAATCGTTGAGAAAATGCGTCTTCGATATCGTTTTTCGGCGGAAATACGGCGGCGCACGGGGTGCGCCGCGCGACCGCTCGCGTCCCTCCTCTCGGTGAGTCTTTGTGAACTTCGTCTTTGGAACTTCCCGACGCGTTCCACTTTCTCTCTCGGGATCGTCTCGTCGAGGAAGAAAAAAACCCTGCAAAATCGGTACGCGAGGAGGAGGTAATCGGTGACCTCGTCGGCGAGCATCGAAGCAGCGAGAGACGTTAAAGGTTATAATAGGCTTACCTTGCCGAGCTGCTCTTCGTGCGGCGTTTCCACCCCGTGGAGTGGCACGCGTTCCCCGGTGAAGCTATTGGTGTGTGTCAACGGCCGTTTCACGCCGCTGATGTGCGACATCGCGGCGGGGCCCCTTTGTGCGCGGTCCTTCTTCTTCGCCGCCCGTGCGTCCGCGCTACCTGCCGCAGCGACCGCATCTTCGATCCGCAGAGACGGCAGATCCAGCTCCTGTTGCTTGTCTGCGAAAAAAGCGGAATAAGTTACACACGTGCATATGTGTGTCGTAACGCGAGCCTCGCGTGGTCTCGGTATTGCGCGTCGCAATCGCGACGATTGATCGGCGTTAACCCTGAACTTGGCGGAGGCATTGAACTCCCGGTGCTTACGTCGCAACAAAGAACAGAGATCGAGAGAGAGAGGGGGGGGGGGCGGAGTACGCTTTCTTTTTCACCGTTGAGCATCTCTCGAATGCGTTATGCGAGGCACTTTAATATATCGGCGGAATTTACATTCGAGCCGCGCGACTCGATCGGTGTGACACCCGTTCACCCTGATTTGCATACATCGAGAGAGAGAAAAGTGGTAGAATTAACGAAATCCGGCTCAAACGAGCCTTCAGGCACGACATTTGGCCCACTGAATAAATTATACGGTTGCTGTTGAATTTGTTCAGCGTATCATTTGTACAGCCGTTTAATTTGATTTTGTTCAGGCATTGAAAAAAGGCGCTACCGAGCAATATTTACTCGATTCGAGTAAAATGGTTACTCCGATATGCCTTGGAGCAAATATTTATTCGAAATGTAAATATAATTGACTGTATATATTTTTTTTGCATAAATGGACATTCATTTATATATGTTGAAACAATTGCGACGAATATTAAATTCTTAATACTGAAAACTGAAAATGTCAGAATTTATATTTTTAGAAAACATTTCTGGACGGAAAATCTAAATTTATGTAAGAATGTATAAAAATTTATAAAGAAACAAATTTCTTCGGTGGAAAAGAAGTATTAGAAAATTTCAATAAATATTCCCTTAAATTTCAAATCATTTTATATTTACATCCAGTAATCCACTAGCAAATTAAGGTATTACTACGTTCAGGCAAGTATTTATTACGAGCTATTAATAAGTAAAATATACTTAAATTGATAAAAATATTACTCGACTTAAGAAGCTGAAAAAACAGGCGACAATAATTATGTTTACTTGATTCTAGCACTTTTTCTGTATTCTATAATGAGTTATTAATTGATTCAACAATAGTGATTTTGTCAGCAACTATACGAAACAGAATTTATTCAGCGGACGCAACATCTTTCTTTAATGAAAGTGATGGCCGATTTTGTCGATACAACCGTTTTTTTTTCTCTTCAGTGTACGCGCAACAAACTTTAATCGGCCGTTCGCTCGCACGCTCGAGCGCCCGAACACGTCGTTAAACGACGTTAAACGACACATCTGCATTGCGTCTCTAATTGTGGATTAACTGACGCGTTTGTTTATCGCACATCGTTAATTGCTCGCAATTAGGGGCGATCGATGGGCGTTCTCACGGCGAACGGACAGTTGATCGTCCGTCTCGTAACGTGACGATATCTCATTAACCGAATTACCGGTTGATACGAACGGGCAGGCATCCCGCGGGCGAACAAGTATGTTAATCCTCGCGAAAGCGCGTCCTTCCGATTTGACGGCCGCTTCATTACGAGACTTTCGCGTGTGGTCGACGACCAAGAGGATAATTTATTAGGACGTCGAGCAACAAAATAAAATAATCCGCGAGTTTCGCGCTTAGCAGCGATGACGCCCGGCATTATTCCGTTGAAATTGATCTAAATATTATCGTGCCGTCTGCGGGGAACTCCGCGGGCTTTACGCAAACGCACATTGCCGGCTACTCGGAAAGAGAAGCCTCCCACTGCAACGTTGATCAATCGATCGATCGACTTGGACTTTTGATGATTTTGACGGGAAATGATGGGTTATATTTTTCAATCCTGTTGAGATCCCGAAATTTTTCGACTTTTGAACATCACGTCGATCTTCATCTTGCGAGAATCCTAAAAGTCCAAGTCGAGGTATGCTGCGCAAACGAATAAATTAGCATCAGCTCCAAATTCATTCTCACACATATAAGCAGGAATACACAATCTTATATGAAAAAAAAAACTCGCCTTTACATGAAAAAATTCTAAATAGCTCCACTAAAAAAATCGTATTCTTGTTGTTCAAGAATAAATAATGAAAGAAAAAATATCGGATAGAAATCCGAGTCGAAATTTTTGTCCTGTATTAAATTACTTTATTAATATTTAGTTCTAAATTAAGATTTTAAGTGGAAAACGGAAATAACTTCGCACTTGTAGCATAAAAGATACACTATTAACAAACTAAAACTTGCTATTACATGAAGAAATTCTATATTTCTATTCTACATAGTTTTACATAGCTCCTTTGATATTACAAAGGGAATTAAAACCCCCGAAGGGGGGAGGGGGGGATTTCAAATTCTACATCAAATCTTCAAGTGGAGAAAACGGGAATAATTTCCCGTTTGTAGCGTCAAAGGAACTATATAAAACTATATATATAATAAAAACATCGAATTTCTTCGTGTAATAGCAAGTTTTATCTTCGTATAAGATTATATATATTCTTACTCTTACATTATATAAATGAGAATGTATGAATTTGGAATTGATACTGATTCTTTTCCCGTGTACGGTTGCATCGTAAAAAACGCACGGCATTGAAAAGCCGAATAAGGCCGTAGCTCGGTTGACAATGTGTCAAGCGGCGATTCTTCGACGATAACGTCGCCCGATTGTCTCTCGGAGAGCCGTGCTTTATTTTACCTTAATTATACGTTCCTTTTTATCGCGAGATGTCTTCCGGTGGAACGCTCGCGAGTACAAAGGGTCCGATTTTTGCTCGGCGACGATAAAGCTCGCGCGGCCACGACCGATCGTACCTCGGACAAAGTGAGTTGAGCAGAATGAATGGTCATGGTGGTACCGGCTACGGCTCTTTCAAGGGCCTTTAATGCGTAAGAGCGCTCGTTTTATTGCCTCCGTAAACTCGCTTCTGGCGACGACCTCGTTAAACGCGCCGTCGAATTATCCTCTCCGTTCGTTCTCCCCGCGATATTCGCGGAAACGCGCTTTTCGTTTTCGCAAGACGAGACTCCCGCGCGCGAATTCGGCTCGTTTGATTTCGCTCGTCGCAGCAAGTGTGTTTATCGTTCGCCGATTCCCGACGGGAACTACCCGACAGACTCACCGAGGAAGGTGCTGCAGATGTACTCCGAGATCTGGTTCCCGGATTTCGACGACTCCGAGAAGTGCGACAGCTCCTTGTTAAGCATTCTCTTGAACTGCAATCAGAGGGAGGCGAGATCATTAGCGTGACCGGCCGTGATTAACTGGGAAAAGTAGGACTTATTCTAATGTCTTTAAATATCATTTTTATGACATCTCTTCATTTCTGCCCCCGTGCCTCCGCAAATTGTGTGTCGTATCGACGCATCTCTCGGCGCGCCTCTCGTAAACTCGCCCGGCGTTGTAACAATTACAAGCGTGTGATTTCCGATCTTTAAAACGGGCTCGATAGAATCGTGTCGCGTGTCGTATCCTTGATCTAAATGTGCCTCTCGCACAGTCGGAAAATTCTACGGGTTCTACGCGAGAGAGAGAGAGAGAGAGGGAGAGACCCAGCGAACGTGTTCAGGTTGAATCGAAGGACCGAGCCCGCACGGAGAAAGCAAATTTTTGCCAGAACAGCAAATTGTCTGTCAATATGACATGAAAAAATTTTTTTAGAATAGCAGAAAGATCTGTTAAGAATATTAATCGCTACTTGGATTACACGGACAGAGCAAAATCATTTGGTTGCGCCAACTAAATTCTGCCGCTGTCGCAACGATGTTCCGCTGCGACAATACAATTATTTTTCCCCGTGCGACGAATGTTTTTGCTGTCACTTGTTTGTATCAAATTCCTTGCTAATGCAAACAATTTGTTGTTCAAGCAAAATTTGTTTCCTCCGCGCGGGATCGATCGGTATCTATCGGACAGCATTCTCTCTCTCTCTCTCTCTCTTCGCAAAATCGGCTTCGGGCGTACATTAGTCGCTGCGACACCGACAGATGATTTACGATTCTCACGGAGAGGTGGATAACGGATAAGGCTCTTGCTTTCAGAAGCTAACGGCAAATTCCGAGATTCGGAAGAGAAGAGAGCGAGAAAGACGAAGCGCTCTCTCGTTAGCGAGGGAGAAAGGAAGATGAAGAAAGAGACGAAGAGTTTCCAGGAGTTCCAGGTGTCTCCCGGGGCAACCGGTGGATCCTCCTCGACGGTAGAAGAACCTTCACCTCTCGCGACTCTCGACCCTCATCTCGGCACGGATTTACGATATTTGCGCGAATCTGTTTCCACGTAGGGTCGTAAAGGGAAGGGCAGGGGGAGGGGGGAGGAGGCAGAGGGAATCGCGCACTCCCCCGCTGGGGAATTTAAACAATGCCGGTCCCATTGTCTGCCGGTCTTATCAGCGTATCTCGCCGCCTATCTGCGTATCCTCTTTGCACGCGTGCGGATAAACGCGTGTCCGTGCGCAAACATACATGCCGCGAGCGAGCGCACCTTCGCGCGGGATGGAGTAACGACCTGTATTATCGAATTCACCACGCGGCATAACACCGCCGATTAACCCATCCGTCGGCGCGACGAGATTTTTCCGACCATTTTATCGTCCCACCACTTTCGCCGCTCCTTCTTAATTCGACTGTCGCGACAGGGAGCAAAGAATCCCGACCGTCACGAGTTCCCGAAACTTAGCCCTGCGTGTTGAATCTTTAATTTAATACAGGGGGGTAAGGTGGAAGAGCACAGAGAAAAAGGTTCCTGCGGATTGAGCGTTTCTATTTGCTCGGCGAAAATTGGTTTCACAGAAACAACATACGCGAAATATTGTTATTCGTTCGAGTAAAAATGTTGTCTCATTCGAAGAAACTCTATTTGTATAAGAAAGAGAACGCTATTATTTGAGGTGATATCTCTCAACCAGGTGGCATATTATTTGATTGCAATAAATGTATGAAACGAAACAAACAATTTCTTTGTAGGAAAATTATCTTTCGTTTCGAACGAATTTTTTATTTGAGATAAAGGTGCATATTTTCGTTGGAAAGTCTGTACAATCGTACTTATTAAGCGAAACGTTAGTTTTCTTCGGAGCGTGCCGATGATGAAATTTGTTGTGGATGCGATAAAATTGATTGAATCTGAAGGAATCTCTTTCTCGGTGTAGATTCAGTCCTAATGATGTAACTCCAACCTTCGACCACGGCGATACCTGGAATTTCCGTTTGCGCTGTTTTTAGCGTCAAAATTGTCTTGAATACTCGTATGAATTTAATTATCGAAATATCGAGAGTATTTATTTAGCATCAAGATAGTATTGAAATTAAATGCGTACAATTAAAAATTCACGAAAGAGGAGTAGGAGGAGAGAGAGAGAGAAGGTGTACTATCGCGTAAAGGTCATATGTTTTCATTAATCTCTAGGCCACCTATAAATAGTCGATAGATAGCAACAAGCCAGCTTTACGAGCGCCAAAGTGGCATGAAAATTTCGATTCAGGTTGGAGCGTGGCATTTCGCTTGTTTGTTGAAGACACGGCGCTTCCGTTACGCGCACGGCGTAGGACCATAAAGATAAAGAGGATTTCGAAAGGCTAAGTAGGTCAGCGGAGAAATCTAACGATAAATAATACAACGTGCGTTCGCGGGTAATAAATTAACGCATTTACGCATCGCGTAGGATCCTACGGACGCGACGAATTTCGGCGGAAATTCGGTTCTAATTGTGAACGAACGCGCGTCTGTAAACGATGGGAGGCATTGGGAAGCCGCCGGCACGCGGCAGCTCGTCGGCGGTTCGTCGGACGTCGAGATCTCGCGAGAACGAGCGAGAGTTGCCGCGGAAAGTTCAGCGCTATTCGCTGAAAATACACGGGCAGACTAGGGAAACACATTATCGCCGCTCGAGTGTGTTTCGGACATGCAGAGTGGAAATTACAGCCTTATGTTGAACCTTGAGTTCTACAACACTGTAGCAGCCAAGGTAACAAAATAAGTTCAATTTCGATTCTAATAATATAAGTTATTCCTATTCTGGCCATAATATTGTCTGAAATTTCTATTACGTTGTTTTAGCGTTAAAATAGGTTGTTTTACAGGAGCATGAAAATGAAATCTGTGGAACTGAAGGTTCAAGAAGTTAATAAGTATCGGTATCGTCAAAATAGGTTTTTATTAGTCTACGGGCCATCTAAGTAGGCGCAAATTATCTTTAAGAACGTCAAAGTGTAGACATTTCGGCTCAAATATATTATGTTGATATTCTTATGTTGATATTATGTTGATATTCTGTGACATAGGAACTAAGGTAGCAAAATAGATTCAAAATTTCGACTCTAAAATAAAAATATAATTTACTCCTACTTTGATCACGACGATGTACTGAGAAATAATATTTAACTATAATCATCATAGTGAAAAAATTATAGTCAGGGGAACCATTTTTCTAATAAGTGTTACTATAATATCAGTAATAATAACTTTACATGCACATTACTATTATTATTTTTATGCTTAAAACCATAAGAAAGATATGATGAGGTAGAAAATAACTAAAATTTCTCTCTCAGTGTTTCTTGAATTTCCGTTTCCGCATTTTAACGTTAAAACAGATTCACCGAGGGAAATCATAGTTATTTCAGGCCCTAACTATATCCTCTTCATGGTTTGCATGTAGAATTATTATCATTAACACTGTAGTAACACTTATTAAAAAAATGATTCTCATAACTACAATCCTCTCGCTATGACGTTTATAGTAACAAACATTGCATATTTCTCTCACTTGTTTTATAATAGCATTACAATTAAATCTGTAAAATTAAAGAGAGAAGTTAACACATGCAATATCGTTGAAATAAGTTTCAACTAGTCCACAGGTCATCTAAGTGGGAAACTATCCTTGAAAGCGCCAAAGCGTGGCATCAAAATTTCGACTCAAGAAATCACAAGAATTGCTTCATGAAAGTACACAGACGTGGGTTAGAGAAAAACACATCGCCACTACTCAACCGTGTCAAGTGGATGCGCAGGAGGATCATTCGGCTGCGATTCGCAATTAAATCACGCCGACGACAGGCCGAAATGAGAGGATGAGTGATAAAATTCGATTCGACTATCTTACGATTATCTTACGATTATCTTCTCGATTGCTCCGTCTCACAGGGAGACTCTAACGCTCCGACGTTTTCACGAGCACCACTGTGATTCATTCTTACTAGTATCACGACACCAATATGTCGGTACGTGACGCCAAGAAGAAGAAAAAAAACGAAAAAAAAGGACAAAAAAATAGCCGCAGACGCGAGAAATCCGCCCCGATTTGCGCGCGATCCAGGCGGACAGAGCCGGGCTAATGTCATGGGATAACGCGTCATTACGCGTCTACTTTCAGGATTCACCTTTCTGCCATAATTATCAATGAACTTTAATTGAAATGTCGCAAAAGGCCATGACCGTGCGCGGTCGGGCATCGCTCTTCGTCACCTGACGCGTATCATCCAGCTTCTTCCGGCATATTTTTATTGCAATGCTCGATCGACCTACGATTTCGCGCGCGACTCGTTTCACGGTACACGACGAAATGCGTTCGGACACTTTAATATCGTTCATTTTTATCCGGTGCTCGTAAATATAGAACGCGAGAGAGAGAGAGAGAGAGAGAGGGGGGGAACCAAGTCGTAGGAACGCGCGTCTCGACGACGAATGCGTTCCCGCTGAACGAAACTCCGCGGTTCCGCGACGAATGTACGGTCTCTCTTGTTATTAATCGGCAGCGTGCGCGCGCGAGCCGATTAATTGAGCTCGGTGATTGCTTGACCCCCGCAATACGTCTTTATCCATCGTATCTCGGGTCTCGGGATCGGACGATAAGGTAATCTCCATCGGTTCGGCCGGATAAACGCGCTCGCGCAGTATTTCGCGTTCGCGTGTCCGTCGCAGACACGCGTCCGCATCCTTCTCTCCGCAGCTAGTATTCCTGGAATACAGAGTCTGGACTATCGTGGGGGATTTGTTTATCGGCTTCCCGGAATACTTTAAGGTAAGATGGAGGGGAGGCAATTTCGAAAACATTTACTGGAAAAACAGTTCTCCCGATTGACTATAATTCCCTCAGTTATATATAGCCGCCCGAATAGAAGTTTTAGCCCCACTTTAAGTCAGAGTCTTAATATAGAAATTTCGAGCACAGGTGGCAAAAATTTGGTCAGTGCACTTGGAGCGTGCGACTACGCTC